AAGCTATGTAGGCCGAGCCAATATTTCCAGTGAGATGCCCGATTTGGAGAAAATTTCCTCGTCGAGCAGTGGGGGTATCGAAGGAAATTGGACGGAGGATCGTTAAAAACAATGTGTTTTTTGATCCAATTTTTGTCCAAAGACGGTATCTTTCTGCGTAGAACTTGAAATATAATCGCCTTGGTTTTACTCAAAAATTCAAACCGCGCGGGTAAGAGAACAGATCGCATTAGCCTAGGCTCACTGGACATGAAACAGAAATTGCCTTTCAATGTGGAGATTGTTAGTTAGTGTTAATTGAAACAAGATGTGTTCGACGTGACGTGCGGAAATAAAAAGGCTTGCCTACATGGCGATCCCAGTGGTAGAAATAACTTATTAATCTCATTATTTGCAGTGTTTTAACCTTCGCGTGAATACCTAGTATTTAGGCCTTGAAGACTTGCATCATATAAGGTTTAACTTGCCAAGACCGCCCTGACTTGGCTGTTTATCAGCAGTTGCAAATTAGCTTACAACCCCGTGTATTTGGGGTCGTGTGCGGTGAAGTCCGTGAAGCAATGACTTAGATCCGTTTGCAGTCTCTAAAATAAACCCTATTGGGTAATTTGAAATCATATAATAAATAAGACAGACAAAGGTTAACATCTTCAGGAATACGTACTGCACCCTGCGAAGAATCGACCGTAGCGATTATACAAATCTCGCTTCGGAACGAATTGAAATTCCATTGATATATTCCTTCCCAAGGAGATTTTAATCAGTAGGCAGTTCACTCCCGACTTTTAATTTCTGACACTCAACTGCTTCCTATAAATTATTTATTCTGGAAAATATTTTGGTATTAAACACTTCAATATCGATTTTTTTCTGCTGAACTAACGTATACTTGATAGAGTTTTGCGTTACCTGGAAACTAGCATGAATTGTAGGCTCTAAACGATAATCTCAATTTCCCGTCCGCTGAAAATTCTAATTTTATCAAAAAAAGACGAATGAACTTTCAGTAGCTATATGTTGTTTCGTAAGGTCGTTTCATAAAGTAAAACCTTTTTATCACACTGAGAATTATATGCTTATTAACTGGTTTTTAAAAGAGAACCCAGATCGACCGGTTCATGAATGAAGAAGTGATTACCTCTCATGTTTATCCGTTGGTCAGATCCAAAGCATTAACTTTTTTGACTGTTGGGAAATGCAGAATAAAGGGCTTAATCTCCTATAGCTTATATCTTAACCACGAACTTAAAAAT